TGTATTATAATAAATGATAACCATTTTTGCACAAATACGTACAATAGTTCAAAGATAAAACTGAAATGAACCATGCTTTTTCAGGTTTTTCAGGTAGGTCTAACTCTATTCCAGTTAAGGATGCACTGATCATATTAGTGTTTTATTACCTTAATTATATGTAGCCTATGTCTGCACTATGACTGTAGGCTGTACTGGAAGCTCCTGAAACCAAGACGAATTCCTTGTGTGTGTAAATACACTTGGCAATAAAGCTCTTTCTGATTCTGATGAAAATGCAAATTCAATCTCTGAAACCAGGTGTCGCTTATAGAACATAGCAGTGTTTCCTGGGTTATTGCTGTAGCCTACGCAGCGCTGCGCTTATTAGCACTCCTTTAATATGTATTTAACTAAGGTAAGAGGAAAAAGAAAATGCCATCGAAACTTTTCTGAAGACAGTCAGTTCTCCTCAGAAATACATCCATATTAACCCCCACCCTAATTCCATAACTATGGTTTTCTTTCAGTATTTCGAGCATCGCAAACAATTAATTTGTTCTGTCTGGCTGGGGCGCGGGAAGATGTTTTAGGTTGGGGGTGCTATATGCTATGTGAGCGTGGGGGGGCGATAGAGGCTATTTACACTTAGTGAAAATAGCTATAGATTATATTTATAGCCACTATGTTAAAATAACAGGGTATTCTGCTAATTCCTTATTGCAAATAGTGGCAATTATCTGCACCTCAGCATTGTAATACATTATAAAACAGTATGCAATAATAACTTATTAAGTTTAAATTTTTATTTTAATTCAAATTATTAAATGGATGCCACTACTGGGACAAAAGCCCTCCCTACACCTACCCTAACCCTACCCGATACTTTATTTTCAACTTTTTGATGAAAACGCCATCGAAACTTTTCTGAAGACAGTCAGTTCTCCTCAGAAATACATCCATATTCATATCCAACCCCCACCCTAATTCCATAATTATGGTTTTCTTTCAGTATTTCAAGCAACTCAAACAATTAATGTGTTCTGTCTGGCAGGGGCAGGGGAAGAGGTTTTAGGTTGGGGGTACTATACGCGCGGGGGTTGGGGGGCCGATAGAGGCTATTTACACTAACTGAAAATAGCAGTATTTCTTAGTGATATCATATGCTATTTACACTAAGTGCAAATAGCTATAGATTCTATTTATACTATGTTAAAATAGCAGGATATTCTGCTAATTACTTATTGCAAATAGTGGCAATTATCTGCACCTCAGCATTGTAATACATTATAAAACAGTATGCAATAATAACTTATTGAGTGTAAATTTTAATTTTAATTCAAATTATTAAATGGATGCCACTATTGGGACAAAAGCCCTCCCTACACCTACCCTAACCCTACCCGATACTTTATTTTCAACTTTTTGATGATTTCCTTCATTTTTATTAAAAATAAATGCTTTTCTGATGTTATTTGAAATTTGAAAAGGGAGAAAAAAAAGTTCGCCAAAAGGCAGATTCGAACCCGGGTCGATCGCGTCAAAATTGTACCATATGCGCCACTGAATCTAACGATTGTTAACCGTCTTTTGTAATTATGACTATCCCAATCACACGTTGGTGGGTGGAATTAGTGTAAGCCTCTGCCAACAAGGCGGGCTATTTGCACTTAGTGTAAATAGACAAGTTAAACAGTTAAAGTTGCCCACAGAAAAAACGGGGTGCTGCTGCAGCACCCAGCACACACACGTCCCGTGCCTATGCTGTCTGGTAACGTTACAGTATTTTCTCTGCTTGCTATTCTCTCCTCTTTGTGTCCGTCTTCAGTGCATCTGTCTTACAGATAATATATCATGATGATCATTACGTTTGTGTTACCAAATTGCGTCCTGTCAGGAATAACCTGCCGCGTTGTTTTTGACCTGGTCATTTTTGATTACTGTCAGTTTAAATTCCGGCGTAGCCAGATAATGAAAAACAAACAAAACAATCTAAAAATAAATAAACCGCAATGAGTCCAAATCTTGAGTTATGGAAATAATATAAAGATAAAGCTGTCCCTAACTTGCAACCTCCCACTTTATTCACTTCCTAAATGAAGTGAAAAAAAAAAAAAATCCATAGAAGCTTATACGTGTATCTGGCAACCCGACTGAGGCTGAGCGTCCTCAATCACAACTCCCTCAAGGGACGAGGCCATGTAACCTTTTCACGATGATAATATTTATTTATTTATTTTTTAAACCCACATAACTTGCTGAAATACTTCTGCGGCCGCCTCATCTACCTCAGCCATGCTGATCAGGATCAGGACCTGTCCCGATGACCCTGATCGCGCCTGACTTGCCTTCCATTTTCACTATACTGTCTCTCACACACACATACATTCTTCTCTTACATACACATATTTTCTTCAGACATACATACATTCTATATATATATGTATGTGAAAGGAGAATGTATGTGTGTGTGAGAGTGCCAGAATGAATTATGGCTTGTACGGCCCCTCATATGATAACTCATAATTTGTTGCATATATTGGATAAAGTAAAAAAAAAAGAAGAAAAGAGAAGTTATCTGCCTCATACTTTCCTACACACAAGTTTGACATTTGAACATTAATTATATGAAATGCCAAAGCTAAACTGAATGCATGTGTGTGTGTGTTGCAGAGGAACTGTCCATCAGCATTTCTGTATCTAACAGTCAAATCCAGGAAAATGTGGTGAGTGTCTGACTGTTTACCGACAATATTTCACAACTACACACTCTCTTTATTCACACTTCTGCATGTTCGGTCATGTCCACGGTCAAGTCACACCGCAAGAAAAGAACTGAGAGAGGAAATAAAAAAAAATTGGGGTTATTAAGCATGAATTTAACTGTAGACTGAGAAGTTGTATTTGGATTGAATGTACTTGTGAATTATGTTTGATTTTAATATTTGTTTAGTGATAATCTTAGTTAATCTTGCGTCTATATTTAAAAAAATATATATTTTATTTATTTATTTATTTTTTTGCTCTGTCTTTAGGATATCAGCTCAATCTATCAGATCTTTGCTGATGAAGTGTTGGGTTCTGGACAGTTTGGCATCGTTTATGGAGGTACACTAAAAAAGAATTCTAAACTATACTACCTTAAAATCACTTAAGTGATTCTTTGAGTTGGACATACCAAAATAAATGCTTACAAATCCAGCAGTTTGTTTTGTTTTAAATGTACGGTGGGTACGGAAAGTATTCAGACCCCCTTAAATTTTTCACTCTTTGTTATATTGCAGCCATTTGCTAAAATCATTTAAGTTAATTTTTTTTCCTCATTAATGTTTAAGGGGGTCTGAATACTTTCCGTACCCACTGTATATCTAGGTTAAATTTAGATTTAGATCAATTTAGATTATTTATGTTTATTTCACAAAAATAATCTAGCATCTCATGTACAAATTATATTTTTAAGATATACTTAATATTTTTGTGAAATTTGAATACAGATATTTGAGAATGGAGAAATTATACTTAGAACTACAATTATTACTTATTTCATATCAGTATTTTTCATCTTTGACCACAGCTGAAGAAACTGAGAAAGTTGGACACAATGAACATTTGCACAACAGATTAAAATAAAATAAGATTACATTACTCTTAAATATTGGTTTTAAAATTGGCTATTTGAGTTACCTTAACTCGTTGGTTCTACTCAATTTTGTTTGTCATGGTACAAAATGTAGTAATTCTGTAAGGTATATTTCATTATATTTATTACACAGCACAATGCAGTACTTGATTCTGATGGGTCATTTGTGGCATTTTATCAAATATTTAAGAGTAATAACAACTAAGCTGACCGTTATTACAGTTTTCTACATAGCTCTTCTAGTTTCACATATCTTGTGTATCATTCTTCTGTCACTAAATTATTTCATCTCAATATAACACTTACAGTATATTTGTGTGGCTGTGGAATGAGCTCCAGCCAGTTACAAGATGCTCTTGTGAAATTCATGTCCTGTCAGCTCTATTTGGGTTAATTTTGTAGAGTTGATATATCAACTACTTATACTATTTATAATATACACACCAAATGCATTACAATAAATCTATAGTTTTATGACTTGAAACCAATAAACTTTTTGCTAAATATTTTACTGCATTTGAAATCATTTTTTAAAATTTCATCTGTTTTAAGGGAAACATAGAAAAACAGGCAGAGATGTGGCCATCAAAGTAATAGACAAGATGAGATTCCCCACCAAACAGGAGAGCCAGCTGAGAAATGAGGTTGCCATTTTACAGGTGATCAGTGTTTTTAATGTGAGACTGTGGATGTGTGATACTAGTAGAAGAATGTTTATGACTTCCTTAATTCATAATTCTGGAGACGAGAGGTCCTCTTTAAAGGGTTAGTTCACCCAAAAATTTAAATTCTGTTATTAATTATTCACCCTCGTGTTGTTCCAAACCCGTAAGACCTTCGTTCATCTTCGGAACACAATTTAAGATATTTTTGATTAAATCTGAGGGCTCTCTGACCCTCCCATAGACAGCAAGGTAACTACCACGTTCAAGGTCCAGAAAACGACAGTATCATGACGTGAGCGTGTGGCGGCGCTGACCCAGATCCGTCGTAATGACGTCATCACGCCGGA